ACTAAATTCAACACTTCTACCTCAGAATCCCATTTACCCGATAACGTTCTCCCTCTATCAACTCCAACTATAACAATCACAGTACTCCCCCAAAAAACTCTCCAACGTATGAATTCTTCCGGGCGGCATATCATGAATACAACGCTATGACCAGCAGCAAAAGGTAGATCGACTGGTGAATATTATAGAAAATACAAAAATTTCACCATAAACTCTTACATTAATTTTCCTAACTACACGTATATCACATTTATGCTTATTGCTGTTTTCAAAATTCTAGAATTTGGCCACAAACTTTTTTTGAAGATTCTTAAAGCTTTTTAATCGATCGGAAGTCAGAACGGTATCTGAACGAGTTGGTTGCTGAGATGGAACAACGTACTGGGAAGGTGATGTCTATACCTACGCTATGTATGGTAGTCGTTGAAGCATTGTGGAATTACTCGGAAAAGGTTGACTATTTAGTGTATGTATTTATTATTTGATATTGCTGACGGCACAAACGTCGCCTTCTCATCTCCCATAATCGCAACAACCGTCACACCAGACACAGGCTTCTCAAACTCAAACTCAACATCAAGCCAGCACAAACATCGCCTTCTCATCCCCCACAATCCCAGCAACCTCTATCACAGATATGCATAATCAATCTACAGTACCATCAAGTGTTTACAGTCAAGGACATCAGTATCCATCTGGGCAAGATCAAGCTGAGATTGAAAAGAAAAGCGTTGTTCCAATACCTGAGCAAAAACGACCAGAACAAAGTCAAAGCCTACTCCTGTTCGTACTCCTGTTCACACTCCTGTTCGTTCGCTGTTATTGCCACCGACGCCAGGACCATCACCGTTACCGCACCATCCCAGTAGCGATGTATTGGTAGAAGCATGAAATTGGTTATTATACTTTAATATCTCGTTAAATATCGCGTTGGGTGAGAGCGTGCATGAACTGTATGCCTTTCGAGAATGCATGGTTGATCAATTACTTAAATCCATTCATTCATTTGATTGTTTTCGTTTTCGTTTCCGTTTTCAAAAAATTTTATTTGATGAAAAATTAAAAATTTTGCAAACTGTTATAATTTACTTCCAACTTGAACTATCACTAATACAGCTCCCCCTTCTCCTGTCCTGCTCACTAGTTGTATTGATAAAATAGACATATAGCAATAGGCTAAAAGATATCCAACTAATGCACTAACAAAGAAAGGAATCATTAGACATGTGTCTCATTCATTGCAAAAAAAAGACCAATAGTAATATGATCAAAGAACTTGATACCGTGACAGAGGCTATTTAAATGGTCAGAATAAAAATTAATATCAATATGTGAGAAATGGTGGATCACAAAAATCATATAAATAGCTCACTGAAATTGTTGTTCAAGTTCTTGTCATAATAAAACTTACAAATTCTTAAGGTCTGTTTAAAAAAACATAAACAAACTTCCGATAATCCACCACAATCCAAGACTAAAATTTAATATACTCCGTTCGATTTTCTCGCTCCCAGAGGTTGCAGCAGTAGGATAACCACTTGCCGTTTTAGTTGGTACACTAGAACTAGCGCTAGTAGTAATAGTAGTGGAGGTACTGATATAGTAAGCACAGCCAAGAAGCTTTGGGGGTTGATTAAGTCGGTCCGTTATCTCAATCATAACGCTATATATATCAGGTAATGACGCTGGTACATTAACTGTTGCTACCGTACTAAATTGACTTCCAGCTGAAATTGGACATTGGGTGCAAACTGGAGACGTGGACATTGGTTCCAAGAGACTCTCAAACTTATCAGCGAATGAAATCTCAACTACGGTCTGATTATTGATGTCTGCTGATAATTTACCGGAAATGGTAAATGTATTGGGTTTACCAAGAACGAAAGGATCAGGTGAAATTGTGACGGTAAGTGGGTCGGCTATATAAGTGGGACATTTTTCAAAGGTGGTGGCTTTTTTATAAAGCTGTGTATTAGCATTGACCATGGAAAGTGTAGCCAATAAAATTAAACCGAAAATATAAAATTGGTTCATGATTTTCTATGAAAACAAGACTTGGAAGGTTATCTGGTTGGAATTCCTTCTGTGACTTGGAACTATCGACAACTTGACAACTTTATAATAGCAGCCGGCATGTTTGGTAATTATAAAATCGAGTTGTCAAGTTGAATTTCATTGGACGTTATATAAAATGCGTCTCACTGATTGGGGCCATTTGTTTTGATATTGTAAATATAACACAACATACTGAGAAGACGCCAGCCGAATTCTACCATAGACCAAACAATTAAAGCCGGACGAGTCAATGAAAAGAAAAGAACGGGTTGGTTAGTTGTATGTGTTTATTTGGCCTGCCCGCCCCCTTTGAACGCTGAACAATATGATTGATTACCAGGCTATTGCGGACGTGGAGGTGAGTATGCCAATCTATTACAACCCACTTGTCAGTTTAGCGTCATGGCCAGGACAAATTAAATAATAATGACTTACTTTTGCTCTCCTCTTTTACTATGATTGTTCCTGGTTCTATTAGCGAATATGTCGCTCCGCAGCAAGTAGGTGGAGTGCATATTAGCTCCGTTGTATAAACAGCCGCTGTTTGCTAGCTGCACGGCACCCGGGTCACTAGAGTCTTTAGCAGAAAGCCGGGTGTTGTAATAGAGTAGGTGGAGTGCTGTATATTATATTATACGCAGACACTAGAACGATCAACGTTGATAACCAATAAAAATGTGTTTCTCATCTAATCATACAACAAGAATATTTCTATAGAAATATTCGTTCCGTAACCAATTTCTCTGGAACTTTAATAGATTTCTATGGAACTTTACATGTTCATTATTAATTTAATATTAAAAATACAACCGACATGTATGAGTTGGTGACGTAGGTCGTGTAAATCTTGGTAATCAATCATATTGTTCAGCGTTCAAAGGGGGCGGCAGGCCAAAATAAACACATACAACTAACCAACTCGTTCTTTTCTTTTCATTGACTCGTCCGGCTTTAATTGTTTGATCTATGGTAGAATTCGGCTGGCGTCTTCTCAGTATGTTGTGACATATTTACAATAACAAAACAAATGGCGCCATCAGTGAGACGCATTTATATAACGTCCAATGAAATTCAACTTGATAACTCGATTTTATAATTACCAAAACATATGCTGGCGGCTATTATAAAGTTGTCAAGTTGTCGATAATTCCAAGTCACAAAAGGAATTCCAACCAGATAACCTTTCAAGTTTTGTTTTTATAGAAAATCATAAACCAATTTTATATTTTCGGTTTAATTTTATTGGCTACACTTTCCGCTTTATAAAAAGCCAACACCTTTGAAAAATGTCCCGCTTATATAGCCGACCCATTTACCGTCACAATTTCATCTGATCCTTTCGTTCCTGGTAAACCCAATACATTTAACATTTCCGGTAAATTATCAGCAGACACATCAATAATCAGACCGTAGTTGATATTTCATTCACTGATAAGTTTGAGAGTCTCTTGGACCAATGTCCACGTCTCCAGTTTGCACCCAATGTCCAATTTCAGCTGGAAGTCAATTTAGTACGGTAGCAACAGTTAATGTACCAGCGTCATTACCTGATATATATAGCGTTCTGATTGAGATAATGGACCGACTTAATCAACCACCAAAGCTTCTTGGCTGTGCTTACTATCTCAGTACCTCCACTACTATTACTACTAGCGCTAGTTCTCATTATGGAAATTCGACCATTTTACCATTTGTGATGCAAATTTGAGGGCCCTAAACCTTAAAAAGTAAACCGAATTAAAATGGACTGTTTACTACATTCTAATTCGCCCAACACATGCAAAGAACGATCACGCAACTTCTGGAAAGTTCGACCTGACATGAAATTTTGTTGTTTGATCGGCAATATAAGCGCAAGAGGTTTCAAAGTTATAGTTTTTTGATTGAATTCGCTTGCCTGTGAAAATAATGAGTAACTGGAGAAACCCAAACAACTGGTAAATAACGGTTCGCCCTTTCTTTCATTTATCATAGAGCATTGATTTAGTATGATCAGATCAACTGACATGTAAAAAATTGGATTTTAATCATAGGCACTGGTATGTATAAGAGTCAATTCGTTGACGAATCTCACTACGGACAACGACTAGCCAACCAAAGCTGAAATGTCTTTTTGGCTTGTAGGACATCAAAAAATTGTTTGAATTGGGCCAAAGACTACTTTGACAGAGAACTCAAAGATGTCTCGGTAGAACATGACGGCACAACCGTCAAGACTGACAAACTCACCGATTGTAAAGGAGACGTTGACCTGAGTCAAAGGAAAGGCAAACTAATAACAATTTATGATGTTGCCTTGACGATTGAATATTCGGGTTAGTCCCATTTTTTGGCTTTTGTTTTCTTTCCATGTCACGAAAGAAAGATAATGGATAGATTTGGATCCAACGATTTTATTTAATAGGCACATCCGCTGCTGGAAATGAGGTAAAGGGTAAAATTGAATTCCTTGAAGTAGCTCATGATACGGACCTAAAGGATCTTGCGGTATGTAGCATTAACGTACCATTTTTTGGGTCACCGCTTCATTATTGCTGATTTTCTTCCCTTTGTTATCTCCACTCTCTTTAGTATACTGTAACTGCAGATGAGGATATGGATGATTACGAAATCGTCAAAGAAGTCGCCCGTAATTATTTGATACCTGCGTTGAAAGAAAAGCTGGGAAAGTTTGCGCACGATCTTGTTGAAAGTATGTTTGTTCAATTTTTCAAATACTTGTGATGATGTATTATTTGTGTTTATTCGTTTAGTTTAAATCATTATTATTTCAAACAGCCCATAGAACAGACGTTTACATTGACCCTTCGCAAATGGGAGCGGTATCTACTCCGCGTCCAGTGACGCCTATCGCATCATCATCTGATGTTACGAGTAAAACATCAAGCTCTGCGTCTACTCTCACAACATCCTCTACTTCTACCAAAACACTTTTGAATACCAAGACAATTAAAGAAACTATCGAATTCCAAACATCAGCTGATCAGTTATGCGAGACATTGTTAGATCCAGGCAGAGTCGCCGCTTGGACAAGGGCCCGACCAGACATTTTCAAGACCGTTGGCAGCCATTACAGTTTGTTTGATGGAAACATTATTGGAGTTATGCTCGAATTGGTATGTAAATCTAACGTAGTGAATGCGCGCACTTCCTTGCCTATCTAGTGTTTTTTTTCGGGGAGGGGGGATAATCTTAAAGCTAAATTACTTTATTTTAGGTTCCAAACGAAAAGATATCGCAGACATGGCGTCTAAAATCTTGGCCGGAAGGTAACCAATCTAACGATAATAAATACAATCGTTCGTTACTGGCCGCTATCCTATCTCTTACGCTAACTAACATTTTCTACGCATTAGGTCATTACTCTAACGTCACTATGACATTCGAACAAACATCTGATAGTACCAAACTACATCTTACTCAAACCGGGGTCCCTGTAGGAGAGGTCGATGTTGTCCGCAACAACTGGCAAACGTTCTACTGGAATCCAATTAAAAGCGTCTTCGGGTATGGATCAATATCGTCGTCATTGTCATCATCAGCTAAAACAACACATCGTAGTGGTGGTGGTGGTGGTGGTGGTAGTAGTAGTAGTAGTAGTAGCAGTAGTAGTAGGAGAAGAAGTAGTAATTCTCAGAATAGAAAGAAAAAGAAATCTCACAGGGGCAAGAAAGAATCGAGTGGTAATGGTTTGGGTATTGGGATTGCAACCGCAATAGTACTGACAACTGCTATTGTCTTGGGGTTTATTTTTGCTTCTCGATCTTCGTAGATATGGTGCACTTTTATGATCAGTAATAGGGTCGCGGAAATGACCGATTGGGAATTGCTGAAAATAGGGAAGAAAATATAGAGATATAGGAAAAGAATGGAGAATGACAAATAGATGAATGTCGACGGAAGCTGAAGCGAGAGAAAGAGAGTTGATGCTTGGCAAAAGGAAAAAGCTGGGAACGATTTGGTTTTAATGGTCAAAAGGTGCGCGGTTGATGCGAACTCTGACAATTGTGTGGTTAATTATTTATCACCAAATTTACGCGAAGCGTTAATACAAGACAATGGTTCACGTAATATAAAATGACGATGATCAACATCATTCTTACTGTCCTATGTATGCCACGCCCTATTTTCTCAGTATGCCATGAACAGTCAGTGCTGCCCAAACCATCCTTAATACTCCACGTTGTATGCTCCCTATCTCATTTGCTCGCTTGAATTGGATCATACAAGAGTTTTTTGCGCTTTTACACCAAGTTCAATAATCCGAAACATGTTAGGCTTTTATCTGAATTGCTCTGTTGGCGTGTTGACATTCTTGAGACAGCTTTGACACGTTTCGTCATTAAACAATCAAGAAATAGAAAGACCCTCTCTCATCCACAAAAATTAAACCATGGTGTGTGTACTTTTAAACAAAATTATACACGCATATGCACACGTTCAAACAATATCGACTATAATGGAAGGTTCAGATAACGGTTTCTTCGATGGCAAAATAGCGAGCGTTTGACCAAAAATTGCTGGTGCGGCAGAAATTTTAATGGCACCGTGTTTGAATTCAAAATCTACAGTAACGTGCAAAAGTATCCTACCGGTTGTATCATCTAAACGTACATAATAATAACTCCTTAAATTTTCC